TGGCGGCCACAGTGTGGGCAGGGAGCTGCGGCCAGACACGCCTGCTGGGGTTGTGGGCCACATCTCATGCTCAGTTGAGTGATAGCAAATTATTTTGATACAGAAGGTGGGTTGTGAAAGGAAAAGCATGTTAGTTTTTACGGCTGTGTGTCCTGGAGAACATTGAACATAGACTGGTCCGGAGGCCAATGCCCGAATTCTTACAGATGTGTTCATGTGACCTTAGCATGTCGGAGGGAAGCTGTCAAGGTGACACACTTCCTTCTGTGCCCACAGGACGGCGAGACGCCGCTGATAAAGGCGACCAAGATGCGGAACATCGAGGTGGTGGAGCTGCTGCTGGACAAAGGGGCGAAAGTGTCTGCCGTGGACAGGGTGAGCCGGGGCAGGCGGTGGGGAGGGGCCGGCAGCTGGCCTGTGCCCTGGGCTTCGGGGGCTGGTTGGGTGTGTGCAGGGAGGTCACCTGCTGGGACACCTGGGTGGGAGCCCCATGCCCTGCCAGCTTCCCGGTGCGGTCTCCAAAGGGGCCGGAGGAGGACGGCTCGGAAAGACGGCATGGTGTCCCCTGGGGGAGGGGCCCTGCACCTCGCCTGCTCCCCACTCTTCATGGTGGACTCGGCTGCAGCGGGCGGTGTGGGGAGGAGGCGGGAGCAGGTGTGCAGCGGGTGTGGCCTGGCTGAGGCAGACCCTGACACTGGACATAAATGCGGTGGGAGGGTGGTTACTCACCTGGGCGGGAGTGGTCCCTGGCGGTCCGGAGGGGGGCGAGGAAAGGACGGAGAGAAGACATTGCCGGGGGCGTGAGAGAGAAGTGCCCGTGACTTGGGTCTGGTGTCTGACACAGGAAGAGCTCAGATTTGCAGTCGTTCACAGCAGCGGGAGAGCATTCCCGTGTGCACCCCTGTGACGACACGCCGCCCCCTCCCCTGCGCCTTCCGCAGAAAGGAGACACCCCTCTGCACATCGCCATCCGCGGGAGGAGCCGGAAACTGGCCGAGCTGCTCCTGAGAAACCCCAAGGACGGCCGGCTGCTGTACCGGCCCAACAAGGCGGGCGAGACGCCCTACAACATCGACTGCAGCCACCAGAAGAGCATCTTGACTCAGATATTCGGAGCCCGTGAGTACTGCGCCTGCTCCTCCCGGGCAACGGAGAAGCCGCAGCAGTTAGCGGCTGCCACTTCATGGAGACGACAAAGGCGTTACTTTGTTGGGGACAAGTGCACTGCAGGGCAGCTTTCTAATGACGTGCATCAGGCTGACCAGTCAGCATGTGAGGCCTGAACATCTCGCCTCCTTTTCTAAAAATCTCCCCGCCACCGTTCCCCCAGGCGTACCTTGTGCTGCTAATCAAAACGCACAGTTTTCCGAGGGTGGCGCGAGCACCCACACTTCCCTGCCTCGGCTGGTGGTGTGCCCACCCAAGTCTGCCTGCGCCATCCCCATGGCTGCCTCTATTTGTTAAAATTCTCTCTCCAAGGCTCGGGCCAGCCGCCACCTTCTCAGTGGCACTTTACCTAAACACATACCAGTTTCTCCTCATTTAAATACTCGAGCATTTGTGTTTATATTTTCTTTGTTGTTGTTGTTAGTCCTCACTTGAGGCTATTTTATTGATTTTTAGAGAGAGTGGAAGGGAGGGAGGGAGACAGAGAGAGAGGAACATCGATGTGAGAGAGACACACCCATTGGTTGCCTCCTGCACGTGCCCTGACCAGGGCCAGGGATCGAGCCCGCAACCCGGGCATGTGCTCTGACCAGGAATCGACCCATGACCTCCTGGTTCATAGGTTGATGCTCAACCACTGAGCCACGCCCACCAGACTCCTCTAGTATTTTTATGGTTTTACTTTTTACATTTATTTATGTTTCAGAAATTTATTTTTGTTATACAAGGTATGAGGTATATGGAGCTATAATTCTATTTTTTAAAATGGTTGTCTAACTTCTTACCACCACTCACCAAATCATTCTTTCCCGCTGATTTGAAGTGTTTATGTTAGTTCCTGGGTGAGTTCTGTGATGTTTTAGTTGTGGCTTTATGGACACCTGCTTTTGGTGTCTTTAAATTGTTTCTTAGCTACTTTCACATGTCTTTGCTCTTCAGTTTTTAAAATCTTCTCGTGGATTTTGATTGGAATTGCCTTAAAGTGATAGATTGATTTGGGGAGAATTGACGTCTGTGAGTCATTGAGCCTTCCTGCCTGGAACCATCAAGTGTCTCTTTCTCTGAGTCGGTGTGGTCTTCGGTAGCTGTGTCGCTCTGTGTGTACTGTCACACGTCACATTGTGCCCGAATGCACCCTGCTCCGCGTTCAGCATCGCAGATCAGAACGCGCCTCCATTGGCGGGTAGAAAGCACCACGCCGCAACTGGCAGCATTTTTCTCTCTTGTTTGTACATGTCATGGTGCGTCCTGAGGTCTATAAAATGTGGTATTAAGAGGATCAGAACCTGTTTTACACATTTAAGTTTTTTCTAATTCAATAAACAATAGATACGAATGGATGTTTCCTTCTAGTGCAGCCGTGGGCAAACTACGACCCGCGGGCCGGATCCGGCCCGTTTGAAATGAATCAAACTAAAAAAAAAAAAGACTGTACCCTTTTATGTAATGATGTTTACTTTGAATTTATATTAGTTCACACAAACACTCCATCCATGCTTTTGTTCCGGCCCTCCGGTCCAGTTTAAGAACCCATTGTGGCCCTCGAGTCAAAAAGTTTGCCCACCCCTGTTCTAGTGTCTCTCTCTCACATAAGGCCCTGGTGCGTTTATAATTACAGGACACTTGTCTCCCACGGAAACGGACGGCGACATGCTGGGCTACGACCTGTACAGCAGCGCCCTGGCGGACATCCTCAGCGAGCCGACCATGCAGCCACCCATCTGCGTGGGGCTGTACGCGCAGTGGGGCAGCGGCAAGTCCTTCCTCCTCAAGAAGCTGGAGGGTCCGTACACAGCGAGGGTTTTGCTGGTGGTTTTCGTTTTTGCAAAGAAAAGAAAAACCGAGTTTTACTTGGGGATACATGTGGAGTTTGTAGAAAGAATGAGTTATTTAAGCTCATTTGGGCTCAACACACCTTTGAGAACTGCGCTTCTCAGATGTGATTGGAAGGAGGGGTGAGGAGCAGTTTCAGAGAGGAGTGAATGGCGGCGTCACTAGTGAAGACACGTAGCGAAGTATGAGTGGTTTTCCGTTCACCTACGGCAACAACTTGTTGCTTGTATAATACAAACCACAAAAAACAACCATCAGCCCCACCTTGACGGAGGAAGTGCCTGACAGGGATTGGTGCATCTCCGCAGGAAGCGGGGTGCCGGCTGGAGCCTGGGAGTGGGACTTTATGTTGATCCAAAAAGAACATTGGCTAAGTGGCTAAGTAGCAACATTTTATCTAGGGCCTTAGTAAGTGCCCCATAATGTTTATATTCAACTAGAGGCCCGGTGCACGAAATTTGTGCATGGGTGGGGTCCCTAGGCCTGGCCTGCGGTCAGGGCCGATCAGGTTCCCTGCCTCCCCCCTCCTCCGCCCGTGTCCACCGCCACCCACTGCCAGTTCCCTGTCCCAGCTTGGGGCCCAGCCCCAACTGGGCGATTGGGGCCTCCTGGCCGGTGGTAGGGGCCGACCACCACCTCGGTGGGCAGGTGATGGGCTGATAAGGGGGAGGGACTGGGAAGTTGGTGCCGGCCCTGAGGAGGGAGCTGGCCATCAGCCCCCCTGGGAAAGGGGCTGCTTCTGCTGCCACCCACCCCTGGTGCCCCATCCCAGCCCGGGGGCCTGGCAGAGGGAGGGACCAGAGGGTTGGCCTGCAGGCTCCATTGGCAATTGGGGCCTGTGGGGTGGGGGCAGCTCTTGCACTGAGCATCTGCCCCCTGGTGGTCAGTGCGCGTCATAGCGACCAGTTCTGCCTCACTGGTCGCTTAGGGTTTTGTATATATAGATGTGAAGTTAGGAGTTGGTTCTTGAAGCAGGAATAAGCTTTCTGCTCACTCCCCAGATGAAATGAAGACCTTCGCGGGGCAGCAGACCGAGCCCCTCTTCCAGTTCTCCTGGCTGGTCGTGTTCCTGACGCTGCTGCTCTGCGGGGGCCTGGGCCTGCTGGTCGCCTTCACGGTCGACCTGACCCTCGGAGTGGCCGTGTCGCTGAGCTGCCTGGCGCTGCTGTACATATTCTTCAGTAAGTCCTCGCTGCCACTGTTCGCAGAGACGGGAGACGTCAGACTCTCGCACCTAAAACATCGCCTGCACCTCTCTCCCAAGGCCTTTAAGTGAATTTCATAAATCACTTAGAAAATGGGTCTTTCTGCTGCTTTGTAAATTGGCCTAGCACAGTGGTTCCCAACCTTCCGGCCCTTTAAATACAGGTCCTCATGCTGTGACCCAACCATAACATTATTTTTGTTGCTACTTCATAACTGTCACGTTGCTACTGTTAGGAATTGTCATGTAAATACCTGATATGCAGGATGGTCTTAGGCAACCCCTGTGAAAGGGAGTTCGACCGCCAAAGGGGTCGCAACCCACAGGCTGAGAACGCTGGCCTAGAGGAATGTGCCCACAGCCTGGCAGGAGCAGCTTTGAAAACGAGAGTCTGCGTGTCAGGGAAGCAGAACCCTGGTTTACTGCACTCACCCACGTGTATCTTTGTTAGCGCTTCGTATTTAAATCTTGTTTTGAAAATAAGTCTTCATAGTATAGCTGGCATGTTCTTGAGCATTTTGATCATGGTTGTAATTTTTATATAAAAGCAAAGAAAAACTATAAAACCCATGTCCTTGGGGTGTGTGCAGTTGTAAGGAAGGAAGCAGTGACAAACCCCACATTATTTGCTCTGGGATCTGAGTGAGCCATGCTTCTGTGGAAGGCATCGTCCTGCTTACGTCATGTTTCAGCTGTTAACGTTCCCTGCTCATGCCTCCTGTGTGTGGCGGAGGCTCCTGCATGGAGGAGCCGGGGGGTGGGGTGGGGGAGG